ATCCACGATGAGCACGAAAAGCAGGGATCGACGATGAGCACGTGATCATGCACCAAAGAAAAGCATGGATCCACGATGAGCACGAAAAGCATGTATAATACACCAAAGAAAAGCATGGTTCCACGATGAGCACGAAAAGCAAGGATCGACGATGAGCACGTGACCATGCACCAAAGAAAAGCACGGATCCACGATGAGCACGGATCGATGATGAGCACGTGATCATGCACCAAAGAAAAGCAAGGATCCACGATGAGCACGAAAAGCACGTATCCACCATGAGCCCCGAGCACCAAAAGCACGGATCGACGATGAGCGCGTGATCATGCACCAAAGAAAAGCACGGATCCACAATCAGCACGTGATCATGCACCAAAGCACGGATCCACGATCGGCACGTGATCATGCACCAAAGCACGGTTCCACAATCAGCACGTGACGAAAAGCACGGTTCCACGATCAACACGTGACGAAAAGCACGGTTCCATGATGAGCACTGAGCACCAAAGAGCACAGTCCGCGCGCGTGAGAGAGAGAGAGAGAGAGAGAGAGAGAGAGAGAGAGCACGCGTAGCGTAGGTCTCGTCGTGTAGCGTAGGTCGCGTCGTGTAGGTCGCGTAGCGTAGGTTGCGTAGGTAGGCCGCGTCGCGTAGGTAGGTCGTGTAGCGTAGCGTAGGTTGCATAGGTAGGCCGCGTCGCGTAGCGTAGGTTGCGTAGGTAGGCCGCGTCGCGTAGGTAGGTCGCGTAGCGTAGCGTAGGTTGCGTAGGTAGGTCGCGTCGAGTAGGTAGGTCGCGTAGGTTGCGTAGGTAGTTCGCGTCGCGTAGGTAGGTCGCGTCGTGTAGGGCTGTACTTTTCCCGCCCGGCCGCCAACGGTCCTTTCGGACCGATTTCCCCAAGGCACCGCGGCAATCCGGGCCGTAAACGGCCCGACGGCCCGGATTCCCCTGCGATCTTAAAACTTTAAGATCGCGGGGCGATCTGGGCCGTCGGGCAGGTGCAACCGCGAACGGCCTGGATCGCCGCGCGATCTTAAAGATCTAAGATCGGGGCCCAATCCGGGCCATCGGGCCGGTAGGTCCAAAGACGGCCCGGATTTCAGAATTCTGACATTAGCGATTTTTATAAGTGTAGGGATTTGAAAGGGCCTATAGGGGTTTAAAGGGGGTTGCCTTAGTGTGATTTGTTTTTGTTTTTTTTTTTCCCTTCAGTTCTGTGAGGAATTCTGATGCGACCCTCAGCCAAAAGTAGTTTGTATTGCAATTCTTCACAACATACTTTTCGTTCAGGTTTTTTTTTTTTTTTTTTTTCGCCCTGGGACTGCCCGGGCCCATGCCCGGGGGTCATGCCCGGCCGGTAACCTGGTCGCCAAACCGAGCGTGACGTAGGGACCCGGGCGCCCGGGATATCTCCCTAGCCTTTTTTCTTTTTTTTTTGTCTGCGGATTTCGACTGCACTCTTTGAGATCTGTTGAAATCCGCATTAAAACTTTGAGGCGCGATTTTCTTTTGGGGAGCTTCCAGGGAGAGGGTGGCGGGGGGAAGGTATTCCTGGGGTGGGTTCAGGGAGGTATGGCTTTCACGTAGAAGGGTCAAGCTAAACAGCTTACTTAGCTGACCCCCACGTGGCCCAAAAGTTTCAGTTCAGCACCCTAGAGGGGGTCCTGGACTTCGTAATTAGATATGGACACGACAACCAAGACGCCTAAGGAGATATGCTGGTGGGATGTCCTTGCCCAAACTTATAGATCTTGCATAGTACCGCGCTCGACAGCCGAAAGTTATAAGTTCAGGATTCAGCTCGTGCAGGCAGAGTGTTTTCCGTTTGTTGTTTTCAATGTACGGTGGTTCATCAATGCAAAAGTATCTTGCCTGACAGTCTGTCCAGATGCATGTGGTGGAGCAAGGTCCATTCTTGGGCTTGCACCTCGAACAGCACTGCTACTCTGGTTTCACGAAACCCAAACCCATAACTTCCTGCCGAGAGCGCAGGGACGTCAAAGGAAGATATAAACTCAGCAAGCCACTGCTGCAACATCATCCTGCCTCAGAGTGGCCGAGTGTAAGGACCTGCTAATAATGTATGATCTGCGGTCAATTGGATCACATGTTTGCTAAAATGGAAGAAGCTGGGGCCTGCTGGACCCCTCATCTCAAAAAAGAATGTCCGGTGGTTTTCCACTGCTGATCTGCTAAAATCAGCATCAGAGATCCTCCACCCAGTTATTTCAACAAGTGGGGCCGAAAAGGCCCCATCCTTTTTTTTTATTAACCACCACTGCCTTTCCAAGCTGTAGTCCCATTCGGGAAAATGACGTCAAACGCAAAGTTCGGGGTCCGGGCGAGGGTTGGCAAAACAAAATATTTGGGCCTTCTGGGCCCGACGGAGAAAAGAAAAAGACAAAAAAAGAAAAAAAAAAGAAAAAAAAAGAAACTGCAAAGTTGAATGGAAGGACGTCGGGGAAAGCCACGAAGGAAGTGTGCTCACAGCAGTGCCTCTAGGAATGCATCTGCCCAGAATCATCAATAGTTTCATTTTTGTTTTTTGTGTTTTTTTTTTTATATACAATAATAATACTCTAGTGCCCTGCCCACGAGACAGGGCGTTTTCCACGGACAACTAACAGTTGCAACCAATAGGGCACTCTCACATGTACTCAAGAATCTGTATCCAGCTGCTTTTACGTCCAAAGAGTCGTTGCTGTTTTTGCTTTTTTTTTTTTGTACAGCCGCCCGTTGGTAGGGCATATTCTCATTTGTGCCCAATGTTCTGTATCCAGCTGCTTTCACGTGTAAAGAGTTGTTGCATTTTTCCCTTTTTTTTCTGCGTTTTGCTGAGGGAAGAAACGCCCTATGGCAGACTCTCACATGCACCTAATGTTCTGTATAAGTATTTTCTTTTTCCTTTTCTTTGGCTGACTTTTTTTTTTTTTTTTTTCATGAAGGGGTACCAGAAAAGAGATTACAATGGGACCCAGGCTCGGCAAAACTCGGTGCGCAGTGAGATTCAGAGTCGGCAAAAACAGGCTCGGCGGTAGTGGTGGTTTAAGGGAGGCAACACCCCCCCCAGGTTCAGGGAAATCACGCGGACGCCTGTGACTCCCCGGTGCCCCCCCCCCAGCATGATGCCCTGGGTTGGACCGGGGGTCTGCCAGGCCGAGGGACCCCCCAGTCCGACCGGCAGGCTCCCGGTCAAGGGAGGGCTCGCCGGTCCATCCGGGGACCAGCACTGCGCCATGACCTATATACCACGTGTCGTGCGATCGAGAGACAACCAACGACCCTTGTCCACACCACCGGGGGTAGCTCAGTTGGGAGCTCAAAGAGAAGTTTCCACACTGAGGTAAAAAATCCAGATCGAACAAGATAACTGAAATAAAGTTAATAACTAATTTTGAATTGCATGATTTCATGTTTGCAGACAAGATTCCGAACACGAGAGCGGCAGGACAACGCAGACCTACCTCCGCTGATGGTTTGCTTTCAGTCCACATTGCACTCTCTTGATCATAGGCAGTTGCAATGAACATTGCAGGGGCACCTCGGCCAACATTTTGCCTAGCGTGTTCCCTGCCTGCTTCGAACAACACCTGCGAACGTCCACCGAAAACTTAAAAATTATGTGAGGGAGGAAATTGCAAAAAGGCATATGCAAAAAAAAAAAAAAGAAAAAGAAAAAAGTAATGCAAATAAATAAAAAGCAAAAGAAAAAGTAAAGCAAAAAAAAAAAAAAAAAAAAAACTCCGGTTCAAGCCATACATACAGCTATTGAACACTCATGGCGCACATGAGCAAAGGAACGGCAAAAATTTCTCAGCAAACCAGTTTTTTTTAACTTTTTTTAACTTTTTAACTTTTTTTTAAGGACACCAGCCGTGAGGAGGAGGGTAATTATGTTATCCTGTTCATCTGGTTGCATCTGGGTTTGGAGTTCGAACTCGGCACCTGGTCTGTATTTCAACAGTTCAGTCCAGGGGAAGTGTACCAACTGAGATAGGCCCGTTGGTTACATAAAATCAGTTGCATCATTACATAGCACGTCAAAGTCGTAGTGCATTTTGCAATGACCTGGTTGCATCTGGGTTCGAACTCAGGTCTGTATTTCAACAGTTCAGTCCAGCGGGGGGGTACCAACTGAGCTAGGGCCGTTGGTAAAAAGCAGCTGCATCATTGCATAGCACGTCGAAGTCATAGTGCATTTCGCAATGAACGTTTTCCCTTCTTTTTCTCTCACAAAACCTGCATGCACACACACAGGCGTCCCATCTACTCTGGGGTGCAGCGCTACGGTTGCTAGTCCCCGGCAAGCAAGGTGAACCAGTACAAACCAAGAAAATGAGTCTGGAGGCTGTTCATCGTTTATTATTATTTTGAATTATATTTGGACCATTTCTCGATTGATGCGTGTCATTCTTGTGTGGGGCCATGCTAATCTTACTTCTCTGTATCGTTCCAATTTTAACGGATGTCCCGTAGGATGTTTAAATTTCAAAAAGCATTAAACACAGGATCGCTTTTGCCCGGCTGCACCAATCCATCATCGTGTTGCTACAACACCTACCTTAAACTCACTCACCAAGTATTAATTAACACAATACCCCTTTTAACCCCCCGTTCCCTGCACATCTCCTCTGTTAACAAACCACAAGACGAATCTGGTTTACGCTTTCAGTGAACAAACAGTCTGGGCCACATTCTAGCACAGCATGTATTTCCTTTTTTTGCTGCTGCTTTTTTTTCCAACACGAATCGGATTTTGCATTGGCAATTCTGTAAACCAAGTCCAGCGTCCCTTACATCAGATGTACTCACTCAACGCGCAACATATTTCTACTTGAGCTTTGAACTAATCCATCTGGTCAGGGTGTTATAGACTTATAGTACATTACTAGCCTCTTGGATAGACGTTTGTCCCTGCTCAGGCCTTTGTGCTTGAATAGAAGTCTGTGTGTGGGATTGGTAAGCCAACTTCAAATCTGCTGAGTTACCTGAATATATGAAACGATTTCACACATATCAGCATCCTGTCTCAGTCCCGGTCCCAAGATTCCAAGTTCCATGTACCACAAAGTCCCAGTACTTTAGGCTGGTAGGTCGAGTCTACGCAGTCTACGCTCGTAGGTCTGGTAGGCTGTAGGGTCAGCCCATTCAATCCAGTCCCGTCGGTCCAGTCCAGTCAGTTCTCATTTCAGTCTGGTCAGTCCGTCCGGTCCAGTCCGATCAGTCCGCACAGTCCAATCAGCGGCCCAAGTCCCAAGAAACAATTTCACGCATATGAGCATCCTGTCCAGCCCCGGTCCCAAGGTTCCAAGTCCCCTGTACCACAAGGTCCCAGTACTTAAGGCTGGTAGGTCGAGTCTACGCTCGTAGAACTGGTAGGCCGTAGGATTAGTCTGTTCAATCCAGTCCAGCCGGTCCATAGAGTCCAGTCAAATCAGTTCCCTTTCCAGTTCAGTCAATCCAGTCCAATCAGTCCAGTCCGGTCCAGTCCAGTCGAATCAGTCCAGTCCAGTCCAGTCCAGTCCAGTCCAGTCCAGTGTCCAGCCCAACCCAGCCCAGACCACCCCAGTCCAGTCCATCCCAGTCCAGCCCACTCCAGTCTAGCCCAATCAGTCCAGTCCAGTCCAGTCCAGTCCAGTCCCATCCAGCCCTGTCCAGTTCAGTCCAATCCAGTCCAGTGCAGTGCAGTGCAATCAGTGGCCCAGGTCCCAACAGCGTCAGTGAACATTCCAGATGCGTAGAAGGCTGGCTGGGGCCAGCAGGTGTACCGATCACGGAAGTCTGATGTCGGGAGCTGAAGTGTCGCATACAAAAGTCGAACTCCAGCCCCACTTGCTCCTGTAATCTTGTGTGACCAAGTAGCGAGTGGGCCTGGAAGCCATCAAGTGAGGGTACTGGTCTGGAGAGCCTAAGGTTGGGAGTTGAGGCATCACATACGAAAGTCCAACTGCAGGCAGCGTCAACATCTTGTTCCCCACAAGCTTGTTGAGGAAGCCCTGCTGCAGTCTCGTGCAACCGTATATCGAGCGACGCTGCCACTGTGCAGTCCAGCAGCTGTAGCTGACGGCGCTGGGCGCCATAGCCGTACTAGAAGGAAAGAGTGATGAAGACACTCAGAGAGAGAAATCCTTAGGGTAGAGTGGCAAGAGTAAGCCAGAGACCTCATACCTGATCGGTGTTCTCTGGCGGCCATAGCTACTCACCTGTGTGCGTACGGATTTGCTGTATAAGGCTCCGATTTTGGAACGATCTCCGAGTGCTCGTATCTGCACTTCGGGCTTTTATCTCTCACGTGTGGGAGCGTGCTTGCATGCACGCTGAAGTGAAAATCTTGTGTGGTGTGAAAGTGTCGCGTGAAGTTTGGGCTCCTTTCATCTATTTCTTCCCTGGTATAACGTTACTTAACTGCATCGTTCCATCTCTAAAGCCTTATATTTTCACATACCTATCAACTGAAATAGCGCACTGCGTGAAACATGAGAAGAAATGAGACAACATCTGTATACAATCCAAACAGCCTCCGAAGTGCAAACCCGTGTATCATTTGCACTGCCAACTCTCTCACTTCTCAGAGGAACAGTGGCTCAGTTGAACAAGCTGAGAATCGTACGCTGACCCTGGCTGATGACAGGCAAGCATACAAGCCCAGGGGTCACAGCCTGTGCTGCGATTTTACTAGTTTAAGGACATACGCACTGCAGGACATTCCTTGATGCATCCGATGATTCCGATTGCAATTATGGCAAAATTCAGTCAAAAAGCAAGTACAAGTCTATGTTCCCTCCAGATTCCACATGCTCGCTGCAGGAGTTTCCTTGATGCATCTGATTGCAATTAAGGCAAAATTCAGTCAAAAAGACTAAAAAAAGTACTGCTCTGTGCTCCCTCCTGGTTCCGTGTACGGAAACAGCTCACCACAGGACTTGGATTGCTTCACAAGAGAGGAGAAAGTGGTAATTTGGTAAAATTTAAAAAAACGAGTCAACTGAGCAGGAAGTCAACCACTCATGCCACCACAATTTTACAGCATAGGTCCCTGAGCAAGGACGCCACACATAAATCCAGAAAAAGATTTAAAAAAAAAAAGAACAAATAAAAAGAACAAATAAAAAGAACAACGAGGGCATGGATTTATTTACCTGTATCCTCCTACGTTCCTCTGACGTCAAGCTCTTGTTGACATCAACAATAAGAGGAGCTCGAGACCAGTCATGCCGTGATAGCAATTGAAGAAACCGGAGCAGCCCGGAGATTCGAGAACGGGGGACGGAGAATGGAAATGGTTGCGAGAATACTGACGCCACGAGGAGCTCCACCGCTTCTTCGCAAAGCACATCAGAAAACATATGGCAACCAACCCATCTCTTCGCCAGTCTGACAGAAGCCGCATAGGCTGGGAACTGCCCTTGTAATCCCTGTAGCATGCCTGCATGCATCCCGTGCAGTATGCTCATCGACAAAGGATTCGTTCTGTTTTCCAGTGGGACGAAAGTGCGCTTTGCATTTGCTCGACCTTGGAGGACCACCCAGGAAGAAGCACATTGAAAGGGGAGAGAATTCCAGCCATAGAAGACAGAACACACAATTGCATTCCAGCCAAAGAAGACGGCCAAATCACACAGTCACAGCAGGAGAAGACGATCAGTTCCCCAAGAAGAAAATCAACCAGCAGTCCTCCCAACTGCCACCTGTGCCCAAATAGAATGTACGGTCATTATAACTGTATTTGGGCCAAGACCCATGCACAAAGTCGTTGAAATATCCGGAAATCCATACGGTGAAAGATTGCAGAGCATTCGGAAAACTTGAAGTGGTTTCCCCAACCCAAAATCAATGGAACTGAAGCGCCCAAGATGCTTGTTTGAGTTCACTATTGTTTTACGAGATGAACCTGGTTATGGTAAATCGAAGCATTTTTCGGAATTGCTCAATCCATTTTGGTAAAGTAGCTATCAAAGATTTGAAAAACAATTGATTGTGCTGCACAGCAGAAAGACTCTAGATACGACAATCTGCAATTGACTTGATGAAAATTACATCAATAATAAATAAAACACACTAATACACACTGTGATTGCTGAACATAATGACGGCCCATTTTATTCAAATGAAGACAATGGCCATCCCTGAGATCCCCTCACATTTTCATCTCCCACATTACTGTCTCTCGTTTTCTCTTCCTTTTTGCACACAATTCTGGAACATCTCCCTGTCCAGTAGTCTGAAAAGCATCACTGAGAGCATACAACCACTACCATCCAAAGACGAAGACGAAGAAGAAGAAGAAGAAGAAGAAGAAGAAGAAGAAGAAGAAGAAGAGAGGAGGAAGAAGAAGAAGAAGAAGAAGAAGAAGAAGAAGAAGAAGAAGAAGAAGAAGAAGAAGAAGAAGAAAAAGAGGGGAAGAAGAAGAAGAAGAAGAAGAAGAAGAAGAAGAAGAAGAAGAAGAGGAGGAGGAGGAGGAGGAGGAGTCTGCGCTTGAGGAGATTATTCCATTTCGCATCGATGTTGTGAGAGCTGGCACAGATCCGGACATCCTCAGGGATGACACTGCCCCAGACTGGGGCCATCAAGTACTGCAGAGAATAACAAACCCAATCAGAACATGATCACTTCTGCCATGGCTATTTCAGCTGTGCAATTTCTGCATTACCATCCTCAGGCCACATGCAATCAGGCAGAATGCCTCCACACTGGTTTAACCAGACAGACACTTTGGACAAAAAATTTCCATAGCAGTGACCACAGGTCCACAAGTAACCAGTCCGGTTCAGATGAAGTAGGATCTCAACCTTCACTCTCGAAAGTTTTGGTGTGAGCATGACCTAGCCAGTAGCCAGCCTAAGAAATTGCAGTACCTGGCATTGGCGGTATTTTCGATGGTCCTGCGTTGACTGACGACGCCTCTCTCTCGTAGGCAACCTTTAGCCGAAACGCAAACCCACCCGTCAGTACATCGATTGCATCTTCCGAAGCCACGACGTGGATGCTGTGCTTCTCTTGCAGACTGCCACAGCAGAAGAAAGAAACGTAGAAACGAGCAACCTCAGCACGCAACCGAAGTTCCCAACCATGTCAAGAAGATTCTCCGGCAACAGATCGTACCACAAAGAAACATAGAAACAACCTTTGATCCAAGGCCTCCATCTACTCCATAGTCAGGCACGTCCCCCACAGGTTCAGGAAAGTGGAGGGAGGATGATGCAGAGTCGCATGCAGGCTGGGGATAATGAGACCGTTTTGGCCAAGCTGTAGCTGGACAATCAGGTCTGGCTGCATTTCGGCCACAGTTGTGGCCACTCCTTTCAGCGATCATTCGGCCAGAAAGCCCTATGTTTGTTGAGAGGGCAGCACAACCTTAGGTATTATTTCGGACTGTTTGGTCAGACTGCAAGGAAGATAAGCAACAGCGAGATGACAAATTCAGATTACACCATCACATTGAAAGCCAGAAGTCACACCGTGTGTAACGAGCGTGAGGCTGAGGGTGAGCCGAGGGAGATGAGAGAGAGGGAGAGAGAGGGAGAGAGTGAGAGCACACTCACACACTCACTCACTCGACACGACGGACTTGGACTGAGGGTCGGACGCAGACACAGTGGCAAGGCACAAAGTCGAAGTCTTGGATTCCGAATGCCGAAACGGCAAGTCACACTGAGTACGAGTACAGCAGCAGAGAACTGGTCGAGACTCGTCCCCGTACCGTACGGGGAGCCGGCATAGGTACCGGTGACACGTACGGTACTAGGGGCATTTCTGCAAAGGCCCCGAGGGCAGAACTGAAAATGCAGTATTTGAAAGTGGCGCTCGAATTGCAGCGTGGCGCCAGTTGTCCAAAATCCTACGGTACCAAAGGAGGGGTTTGGAAAAAGGGTGCCAGGCCGAAAACGGGATGCAGCCGAAACAGCAAAAGATAGACCAGGGATCGAGCCCTGGCGAAGTCTGTAACACCGTGTCCAGAGAGCAGCATTGCACCAATAAAACACCAATGGAGGTTCGTAGTACTGAAAACCAATGTCCAGGAGAGCATACTCTCTCCACACCAACACAAGAGTCCAGTGCCTTCACTCTCCTACTTAGCACTCAGCGCCCAGCCTACTCCTACACAGCTACAACAGCCTACTAATTGACAATGCAACTGTCGACATCAGCGGCAACCCGAAGTACTTGAAGATGTCGCCCATGCAGACCATCGCCAATACAAGGTAAGTGCCCTCACATCATCATCATCATCATCCTTCACCCTTCCCCTGACTTTACACCCATGCCTGTCCTCTCTTACACCCGAAGACCACCCCTGCGCCTCACTGTAGTCCAAGCCCACCAGCTATGGTGGCTGGGCTATGGCGCTGCCCTCAGCAGCGCCCTTCTTCCCTGCACAACCGCACGTGCTGCACCTTGCCTCTCAGCGCCAGCCAGCAGCCGCGAGCTCTTGCTCCAGCAGCGCTGCCGCTAGCATGCAAGTGCCTGAATGAGGCTGCCAGGGGAGAGCTCTTTCCTATATGGAAAGAGCTGGCATGCTCGCGCAGCCTTGCTGGACTGGCCTGGGCCCAGAAGCTTCCGGAAGGCCCCAGGAGGCTGCCTGTGTACAGCAGCTACTGGGCTGCTGGGCCTCGTTCGGTTGGCCGCCCAACTGTCTCTGTATGAGGCTGCGAATCACGCCCAAGGCCTGCCTTCTTTGGAAAAGCTCGGAAGGCCGTGGAAATGTCTTTGTGGCCGGGCCTGAGTTTCTCTCAACCAATTGGCGCGTCGGAACTGCCTGGACCCCAAATATGAAATTGACAGTGGAGGGCCTCTTGTGATATGTTAGGCCCGCCTTCACTTAGGGCAGGCACCTTCGCCTTCACTTAGGGCGGACAATGCTGCAAACAGGGCCCCATAGGCCTACAGAGGACACAGATCCTTGCAAGACATAGACCTGTTTTTGGTGAGGGGGCAGTACAATTGATGTAAGTCCTTCAGGACAGAAAAATGAAGTCAAAACTGTTGTACCAGAGAGGACCAGGGTCTTTCCCCTGAACACAATGCACACTGGTTATGAACGTATGCAAGCTATCTTTCTCGTCCGATACCGCAAAACTGAGAGTGCCGAGGGAAGACGGTAGCCTCTCCACCAGACGTAGCGGCCCCATCATCATAGTGAACGTATTTCTGCTAGAATTGCCTAGACTGCTGGGTGATGATGTCAAGTTCCGTTCCAGGGAGAAAGGTATAGATTGATGGTGACGGTGTCAAGTTCTGTTCCGGGGCAAAACATGGCATGTGATAGGGCCGGAGAGTTCACCTTTCCGCAATCTTCAAACACATGGCAGCTTTTGTCTTCTTCACAGCTTCTGCATCATCTGGCCACTTTCCAGATCCCTCAAGCTGAGCACAAACCACAGGATGCACGGTTCCAACAACACCACAGAACTTGCGGGTAAGACCTCCAAGAGCAATCACATTGACCGCCTCGCTCGGCAACATAACATTTTAAACGTTTCCCTATCTTGTGATAGTCCTGATCCATTCAAAATGTTGGGTCGGCCGGAACATATCCAGATAAAAAATGCAGTCATCTGAGTCATGTGCATTCGGAATGCAGTGTAGTGGAGCTAGGTAAACACTAAACAGGGTATCCTTCCCCAGGATAATCAATAGGCTAGTATGTACCCACCACCAGGACAATCTCTAGGGAAGACTGTCATGTAATCCTTCCAGGGGGAAATGAACGAAATCGTGGAGCAAAGCAAAGCACAGGAGAACATTTTGCAACACAATCCAGGCATCAATCCACCGCTGCTAATTAGGGCAAGTTCCACATGAGTATTGCACTGTTAGCCTGTTACGGCTTCACCCGAAAGAACACCCGGTCATTATCGCCGTATTTGGGGGAGCTTTCAGCCTAGATATAGCGATAATGACCGGGCTTTCTATTCAGGCGAAGCGAATACGGTGATGCTCTTAAACTACAAGCTATGGCTTTGGTGACGGCATTGCCATGGCCCTCTGATCAGTCCAAGGACCTAATTCAATCAATGTACCTTAATGGCATTCTCAGTTTTTCATTCTTCCACGGCCTTTTGCAGCTTCTTATCCCTCTTCTTCTCAATATCTCCCTCCTCACTATCCCTGTCTCTAATGTTCCTATGCATTTGCTCTCATTTCTTTCGTCCATCTTAACCATGGCTGTCGGCCAATGGCGCTTCATCTCAGCAGATTAGACAACCAGTCTTCCAGTGTAGTTTTAGCCTACCAATGCCCGGCCTCCCCCTATGACAAACCATACTGGAACCATAGGCAAAGCCTAAGGGCCATCGACCAAGAACTCGAGGAGGGGTAACAGGCCAGTAGACAGGGCCCCCACTGGAGTTTGAAGTGGTCCAGGAGACGAGGGACTGCTGCCTCCACATCGTCCAATCCCTTCTCTCCCCTGATAGAAATCGAAGTACTTTTAATTTCTTTGAGGCAAGAACCCCCCGAAACCCAGAACCCCACTCCCCTCGCCCGCTCCCTCCCAAAATCCTCCCCTGTTTACGTCCACAAACTTCAATTTGGAACGCTTCTAAATCTCAGATTTCAAAGAAAAGCTTGAAAAAGCGATAAAATCTGGGAAAAGTTGGAGTTTTCAAAAAAGCTTGTTTTTCCTTCCGTGGTGTGCTCATCTGTGTCTTTTATTTTTCTGCATATCTTGCATGCTGCATGTAATAATGCAATTCTCAATTGTCAATTTCCACTTCGTAATTAAGAGGTGTCTTAGTACGGTGTTACCAATGGCCTAGCTCAGTTGGTACACCACTGACCTGTTAAAAAATCCACATCCACGTTCAAAGTTCAAACTCCAGTGGAAGCACATGAGTGACATACTATAATTCCGAATTACCTAGGGCCGGTCAGTTCAAAGATGATGATATGTCAAGGCCGTCACCCTAAAAAAAAAACAAAAAACAAAAAAAATAAGAGGTGTGTTACACACATGTACAACATCCGTACCCAACCACCTAAATTGAGGGTTCCGGCTTGTTGTAGGTTTTTGCCTATCGCGAGCCCCTGCCATACGCAAAAACCTACGCCTCCTCAGGATGCAGAACAGAACACTCTCATTTTATTAATATATTACACACTTGTTTTCTTTTCTTCGTTTGTATTTATCAAGGACCAGTGTTGCATACCCCGACGGCCAGCGGCCCTTGAATGGTCCGCTGCCAACCAGCCGAACGGTCGACTGGTCGGCACCTAACGGTCGGTGGTCACCCCCCAAAAAAACTCGGGGTCAGAACCCCTGATAACCCCACCAACACCCCAATAGCGGCCCCCAACACCCTCATACACCCCCCCCAACACCCCCATACACCCCCCCAACACCCCCAAACCGCCCCCAACACCTTCAAGGATGACAAAACAAAAAAGTCCGCTGTAACTTTTGACTGTTGGGTCAGTGTCAGAATTCATAACCAGACTAGGGAACCAATAAGAACAACAAACAATACCATTTGAGCCCAGCAAGGCGGGGACGCCTGTGTCCCAAAGACCGAGTAAGAAAGAGTAGCTGTAATGGCAAACAAGCAGAAAGGCAGGCTGCCAAGCTAGGTCTACTGATAGTACGGTTTCTACCCCTTTGTTGTCCCCACACTTTCTTTACAACACATCTTCACAGGCGATTGCAGTAGAAACGTCCTTTGTGAAGCATAAACTGAAGCAAGGTGACAAAGAACAAGGAATGACAGAGCTAACGGCCTGGTCCTGGTGCGCCATTTCATATTGGCATCCTGTACCAGGTCGATGTCCTGTATTTGACATCAAGGTGGCACGGAGCATAGCACCAAACAAATTGGAAACAAATTAAGCGCAAAAGAAATTGGAAAGAAATTAAAAACAAGGAGTAGCACATTCACCAACCTGAAGCAAGACCTCCAGCGGCTGTAAAACCCTGTCCACTCCCTCCTCGGATATTGTTCCGCGAAGACGATGCCCTTCATGCGCCAGTGGATGAGGTTTCGGTGGAAAAACTGCTAACTGCCTGAACACTTCAGCAATTCCAATGTGTCAGTCTCTCTCTCTCTCTCTCTCTCTCTCTCTCTCTCTCTCTCTCTCCACCTGACTTTCTTAAACCATTTTGTTAGGATAAATACCAGAACATGAGAACACTGAAGGGAATACTTATGCTTCCTTCCCTAAGACTTACACATACCAGCGGCTAAATGGATCCGCAGATCTGAGCCCTCAGTCTTCCTCCGTCCAAGCACAGATTTGAACCCGCGACCTCGGCCTCAGGAGCCAAGCATCCCACCGCTCCACCATTACACCTCAATATTTATAAAGACTTCTTAACATAAGAGCCAAATACTACCACAACCAAAGAAACTCACTACCACAACACATGGACATGACCAGCAAGTTCAAGAGGGAAAGATGGCTAAATTGAAAAACTCACAGCACTTTCCGAAGTCTGGAACAATTTGCTAAAGAATCCGCTCCACCATCATACCTCAATATACTTAAAAGCTGCACTGCTACCTGTACGCACCCCCGTACGAGTACGGATTCGTACTCCCGTACTTGTATGCTAGGGGTCCGGTACGACTTCTTTTTTTCTTTTTTCTTTTTTGATGCAAGGAAAATGAGCAGAAGCGAGATGACAATATCCAGAATGCACAATCACATTGAAAGCCAGATAGTATCACAGTGTCCAGAAAGCAGAATTGCACCAATATAACACCAATGAAGAATCGTAACACTGAAAACCAATATCAATGAGAGCTTGCTCTCGCCACCACTAACATGAGTGTCCAGGCCCTTCTCCCTATTCGGTGCTCGGCGCCCAGCCTACTTACTACACAGCTACTGTCTTCCTACTAATTGACAATGCAGCTGTTGACGTCAGGAGCCCATGAAGTACTTGAAGATGTTGCCCAATGCAGACCATCGCCGATACCAGGTATGTGCCCTCACATCATCATCATCATCATCCTTCTCTCTCTCTCTCCCCTGACTTACACCCACGTCTTCTCCCTGTACACCCGAAGACCACCCCTGCGCCTCACTATAGACCAAGCCCGAGCCAGCTATGGAGGCTGGGCTATGGCGCTGCCCTCAGCAGCGCCCTGACTCACACACGACCGCACGTGCTTGCACCTTGCCTCTGAGCGGCAGCAGCAGCCCACGAGTGTCCGCTCCAGCAGCGCTGTCACTAGCATGCAAGTGCCGAATGCCAGCCCAGGCAGCGAGCTCTTCCCTATATGGAAAGAGCCCGCCTCGATTCGCGACCTGGCTGGCCTGGGCCTCTGCCCAGAAGCTTCCAGTAGGCCCCAGGAGGCTGTGCCTCCGATGCAGCTGCTGGGCCTCAGTTCGGTTGGGCCTCCCAACTGTCTGTGTATGAGACTGCGATTCTCGCCCAGGGCCTGCATTTCCGAAAGGCCTGGAGGGACGTGGAATGTCTTTGCTGCTCGCCCTGTGTTTCCCTCAACCAACTGGCGCGTCACAACTGCTTGGACCCCAAATACGAAATTGACAGCCGAGGGCCTCTCGTGATTTGTCAGGCCCACCTTCACTTAGGGCGGGCACATCTGCAACAGGGGCCCCTTAGGCCTGCCGAAGACTCAGATCCTCGCATTCCCGCCTATTCTTCGATAGTCCTCTGAGAAGTCTTCTAATCTACAGGCATCTTCCCCTTGCGTTCTCTTTCATAGCCTGCAATAACTTGAGGTGCTGTTCGCATGAGTTCTTCTCTACTGAACCACCGATCTTCGCTGGGATCCAGATGATGTCTGAATGTGACATGGTATTGCATTCTCGGCTTAGGAGGGCGGCCTCTGCCCGGCGGTTTAGGTACTGGCATCATGCGATGCTCCACCATTCCGTCCATGTCGATGTCACCATCCATGGTTGGGGGCATCATTGACCGTATGGAGGGAAACTGTGCAGTCTCTGTGAAAGGTGCCAGCTTTGAGGCGTGAAAAACTGGATGTGTACGGAGGTGAGGTGGGATGTGTATCACATAGGAAGGTCCGTCCATCTGATCCCCGACTATGTCTAGGATCTCCCAGGGACCGAAATACTGTGGCATTAGTTTTCTAGAGATTCCCATTTCCTGTCCCAGTTCAGATGACTTTACCCAGAGCCTGTCCCCTACCTGAAAGTTAGAAGCCGTCTGTGTTTGTTCTCAGATGCAATCATAGCATCTTGAGATTTCCTAATGTGTTCAATGGCCTGCTGCAGCATCTGTTTATATTTGACAGCAAATTCTATGCTGCCTGGTGCTGCAGTTGCCTGGTTCTCAGGCAGTAGGAAATCAAGGGCGGAACGGGGCTTCCAACCAAGATGCAATTGGTTGGGAGTCATGCCAGTAGCGCTCTGTACAGCATTGTTGTACAGGCTGGCAACAAATCCTGGCTTGGCTTGATGTAGTGCCTAAATAGGTGTTGCACTACTCGGTTCATTTGTTCCGCCTGTCCATTTGACTCAGGGTGATTCCCTGATGTCATTTGCAGTCTGTCAGTTTTAGCGGTCTCTGGCATAGCTATTAGTCTGGCATACTTAGAGAAGCGGTCAACTATAACAAAGATGTGTCTCTTTCCACTCCTGCTGGTCATGAAGTCCATGGACACACTTTGACCAGGACTTTCAGGAATCGGCAAGGGCTTGATCACTATCTGGAACACAATCTTTTATTCCCTGCTTTCTGAAGAAACAGCAAGCCATTTACCATTGTAAATTCATCGGAGGTTACCTTATTCTTCGCGTGAAATTTACGAATGATCTCAGACATAACCGGATCTTGCTGATAGGCCTCCACCAAGGACCGAGTTACATCCTCAGATATGCCAAACTCAGTTACTAGCGCACCCAGATAATCTGCCCTTCGTGATAGTGCATCAGCCACTTTGTTGTACTCTCCCTTGATTGGATCAAGTTGATAGGCATACATGTCTATCACTTGATTCCATCGTTTGAGTGATCCAGCGCAAAGTCTCGTTGTCAGACCTTAAGTAGAAGAATCTCCCTAGGAGATAAGTGTCTCCAGTGAACCAGCGCTCACTAGACTTGGCCAATGCCTGAAGTGGGGAAGGCAACGTTACCACTTCAGCACGAGTAAGAGCGGCTAACACTCCTACTGGCCTGCGGTATTTCCTTGCAACGTGCTCGCAGAAGCACTGCCAAGGTTCGAAGATAAACCCACCACTGTTGGTGAGCCTACCTTCGTTGTGGACTTCTTGCCTCGGCAAGTTCTAAACGTGCGGCATAGTTGCCACAGTTCATACGCATGCCCTAGCAACTCGATCTTGCCACAACCAAGTTTTACCCAGGCAGGTGTTCCTTGGCCGCCCTAACCCTTGGACCGGCCTACGTTCTACTTCCCGGTCCCCTTAGCATTCTCCTTGATGGCCGCCACGATTCCCCCATCCGAAGTCTCGCTGGCCCCATCCTGCTCTGTCTCATCCCCTAAGTCTGGGAAATCGTCAATCTCAGTTGTCTGACCATCCACAAACATGAGTTGACCTTTCTTCTTCTAGTCTTGGGGAAGTCTCTTTTTCCCACCATTTGTCTGACCCTGATGCGCGGACCCAAGCTTAGCCTCTATGTCTAAGGCTTTCTTGTTGAAAGTAGCGAAGCTATGTTGGTCACTATAGGCCTCGTCCACCAACTTATTCTTGATGTATGTGGGCGGACATCTCAAATAGTCTGTGAGGAGTACCTGCGGGTCATAACGCACACCAAGTACTACGATCAGATGTTCTACGGCGTCTGTGACCCCACGTATTGTCCTGTACCTTTTGGCACAGAGATTGTTGATCGCGTAAGTGGCCTTTTGAGCCCCTTGAGGGTCATCCCACTTGTTGTACACAGTCCGTACGGATTCTTCCAATGTCTGGGCCTGAGCCCAGGTATTGAAGTTCTGACCATAGCCCTACTGCTGCACTAACCCGTTTAACCACTGTGTTGTCGATCCCTCTAAAAAGGAGGCAGTAACTATAACTTCTTGCTCTGGCCTTGTGAGCTTGTGCCTCAGATAGGTAGGCACAGTTCTCACCCAGGTATACAGGTCCTCGTCCTTTTTCCTATCGCCTGAGAAGGGCTTAGGACTCGGCAAAGGAATCTTGGGCATCCACTGCATGGGTTGGATCTGCCCAAGCGATTGCTGCAGTGGATGCATAGCCACTGTGACCAGTTGCTCAGGTGACGATGGCACTGTAGCTGCCACTATCGTCAATGGTCTTGAAGAAGCTCAAGGACCGGACCACTAGTTACTAAAGCACCTGGAGGGGGCATGCCAAACATAGGAGAAAAAGAGGGCCCTACCGGCAACGGCGTCACTGTGGGGACAGCAACCGAAGGGGGAGCTACAGCATAATGAGGCTGCCCCATCACTGGACGAGGAGTCAGCAGTGCAGCCATAATTTGTTTCTGGCGTGCCACTAGTTCGTTCAACACTTTCTGATGAACAACCTGCGTTTCAGCCACTCAAAGAAGCGAGTTACGCAGTACTTGCATTGCAGGATCAAGTGTTGACTCGTCTCGTGCCGCTAATTTGCTCAACTCCTGTCTCCTACTCCCTAGTCTAGCTTTTCTCAAGATAGCCCGCTGTCTCCTCTCTACTGCCTCTCTCAACTGCCACTGCAGCTCATCATGAAGTTCTCTGCTTGGAGGATCTCATAATCCTCCGGTGTGAGTTCAGTCTGTTGGCCGACTTGCAAGCCAACAATCTGACTAATGGAAGCCAACAATCCGACTAATGGAAACCTGAAAAACTCCCTGATTGACACCTGACAAAGAGACCTGGGACAAGGCCTGTGACACTGTGGAGGAGGTATCCATCGCAGCCTCAGCCCGGACCCTAGAGTCCGCTAGTCTTGCTGCTGCAAGTGTCCGTTCAGCGTTGGCTGCCGCTGTCCTAGCCCTCTCTAATGCCGTCCTTTCCCTGGTATCCCTTCGCAGCCTCCTTTCCTCTCCTTAGCCTAATTCCTAGAAGGTAATTGGTCGACTGAGTGCAGCTGTATGAGTAACTCTAAGGGGTTCTACTAGTCTCTCCTCCTCCTCACTACTGCCTGCATCACTCATGAGCTACAGTGTGTGATATCTAAACTAGAATCCACACCGAATCCTACCTCAGCATGACACCCAACCGAGTATGATTAACAACTATCTTCGGTCAGCCTGGAGAGAAACAGATAAGTGGTCAATAACAACTAATGTCAGATCCTTCAGGTAACACTAGTTCTATTTTTAGATTATTCGAATACAAATTGCTATGCAGCAAGGAAGATATTATCCTATCTGCAGCTGTATGTCAGTTGACAACAAGTCCGTACAACTAAATAATCAAAAACAAAAGTTTACTTGTGGAGATGTATGTTGGATGGCAGTTTGTCTAATTAATCCCACAGCGAAGAATTATCGGAATCCCCGCTCTCCCTGTATCCTTCTTGATTGGTCACTTTGTGTCAACGCCCTAAGCATCTGGTTGAGCGGCGTGTCTGAAGGTGTGCAATCCGGCCCACCCCTGTGCCCCAAGTCTATGCCGAACCTACCAGCCCCTGCACGTTGTTTACCCTCACATGCAACGAGTCTTACTTCCGGTTTGATCTGGCTGATCAAGAGGCAGTTTAAGGACAGCCCCCAAGGTCCTCAGGAATCATTTAACGTCGCAGACAGGACGACGATCACAGGCAGGGTTCAACACCGGAACCCGCCAGACATATTTAGAGACGGTCTGGTAAGCGTCCGTTCAAAGGGCTGGCATGCCCCGCATGACCTCTATTGCGCAGCAGCAGATCCAAGGACTTCTGGCAAAGCATGCGTGACTAGTTCCAGCAGGTTGGCATGGTGGCCGTGACCCGAGTGCTTCGTCCGAGGACCTTCAGAGGCTTCGCCCGTCTCCCACCAGCTTGCTGCCCAGGAAGAATGTCGACTCTCAAGGTTGAGCGCTTGTGACACCTCACATTGAGAGGACTCTCAAGACAGAACTCACTTCCTCACGGTACGAAGCAATGGGAGGGTAGATAAGGAAGAGAGCAACGTACATCACAATGCTGCCCCCAACCACAGATTTCTCACCGGTAACCTGATGTGCATTTACGATGACCGGTCTTTGCCTCGGCACAACAAACAGCAGAATGCAGTCCCACCTCGGCTTAAATGCCACATCAGCGAGCTCTCATCAACCAGCGTACACCCCTAATGTCACCACATGGCTTCCTGGCGCGCCCACACGACCCTGGGCCGCCAATCGTTCAACGCCCAAGCCTTGCTACTGCCCCACACCTCATGCGAAGCACCAATCAGCTATTGCGAAGAGCCAATGAAGCGCAGTTCGAACCAGCTCTGATACCAAATTGCAAGGAAAATGAGCAGAAGCGAGATGACAATATCCAGAATGCACAATCACATTGAAAGTCAGATAGTATCAAAGCAGAGTTGCACCAATATAACATCAATGAAGAATCGTAACACTGAAAACCAATGCCAATGAGAGCTTGCTCTCGCCACCACCAACACGAGTGTCCAGGCCCTTCTCCCTACTTAGCACTCGGCGCCCAGCCTACTTCCTACACAGCTACTGTCTGCCTACTAATTGAGAATGCAATTGTTGACGTCAGCAGCCCACAAGTACTTGAAGATGTTGCCCAATGTAGACCATCGCCAATACCAGGTATGTGCCCTCACATCATCATCATCATCATCCTTCTCTCTCTCTCCCCCCTGACTTACACCCACGTCTTCTCCCTGTACACCCGAAGACCACCCCTGCGCCTCACTATAGACCAAGCCCGAGCCAGCTATGGAGGCTGCCCTCAGCAGCACCCTGATTCACACACGGCCGCACGTGCTTGCACCTTGCCTCTCAGCGCCAGCAGCAGCCCACTGCCGCTAGCATGCAAGTGCCCAATGCCAGCCCAGGCAGCGAGCTCTTTCCTGTATGGAAAGAGCCCGCCTCAATTCGCGGCCTGGCTGGCCTGGGCCTCTGCCCAGAAGCTTCCAGTAGGCCCCAGGAGGCTGTGCCTCCGATGCAGCTGCTGGGCCTCCGTTCGGTATCTCCAAACTGTCTGTGTATGAGGCTGCGATTCTCGCCCAGGGCCTGCATTTCCAAAAGGCCTGGAGGGACGTGGAATGTATTTGCTGCTCGGCCTGTGTTTCCCTCAACCAACTGGCGCGTCACAACTACCTGGACCCCAAATACGAAATTGACAGCCGAGGGCCTCTCGTGATTTGTCAAGCCCGCCTTCACTTAGGGCGGGCACATCTGCAACAGGCCCCCCTTAGGCCTGCCGAGGACTCTCATCCTCACATTAACCCCGTTTTGTTTTTATTCTTTTTCTCATATTCTAATAAGAATCTGAAGATGATGTTCAGCCAAACATTGCTTCTTTTGTGCTAGTGCATAACATATTTTCTTTTCAGATTTTTTATTTTTTTTTCTTACGGGCAGTGTTGCATCCATGCCGACCCCAGACCCTGACCGCCGACCGTATCGCAGCCGGACCAGTAGGGCCGACCGGTCGGCGGTCTGCCGACCAGTCAGAAAACAACCATCCACTGAATTTTTTTCAAATCTGAGTTGGGGCTGTCCTGCGCTTGCTGAGTACAGCCCAAATCCGCTGAGAAA